ATAATATAATAATATTTTTATGAGATATTGTATAAAAAAATATTAAAAAAATAATTTCAAATATAATTTACAACGTTTAAAAGTAATGTATTCTTATTAGTTAAAAGATATATCCCTTCCTTTCACTTCTCCGTTTTCCCTCAAAAAAATAAAAAAAAAGGGAGGAAAAAATGAACAGGTTTTTTCTGCTTCTCTTCTAAAAAGAATTACTATATTGAATAAATACAGCAGCATTATTTTTGCATACCCATAAGGAATATCCCGGTTCGTCATTAACTTAGGGTATGATGGATCATCCAACTCTGCGATATAAGGGGGTTTTTTCCTCGTAAGTATGTTTTTGTACTGAGGCTCAGTACTTGACCAAAACCAGACAATGTCATTTTGCACCGTACTTGGATAAACAGCAGCACATGCTTTCTTGAATGTGTGAACCTGCATAGTTTGAATGCAAGGATCAACTCTACTTACACTACCAGAATCTACAATTGCAACAATACTTCACTAAACATACACTATATAAACAAAACCACTGCTACAAGATGAAGTATGAAAGGAACAAATATCCATGGATTGCCAAACAACTGGTGTAACATTTCTTCCTCATTTTAAGTGACGCAGATGCACAAATCAGGTAAAAATAGCTACTTTATACATTAATTACAGATTTTAAGCTCCTTGCATTCATTTACCAACTTCATAATTAACAACTTCTTTAAGTTTTGAAGTATGCTGGACCCCTATCTAACAACCAAAGAATGCATAATATCAATCTTGGCAGGCCAAAGTGTAAATTTTCCATACAAAACTGATTACCGGTGGTCCATCTGGAGGTGCCTGAGGAATGAATTTGCAGTTACCGGAGCCACTGAAACACCACCCATGGTACACGCATTGCAATCTTCCCCATTGATCAATTCTCCCTTCAGACAGTGGAGCCAACCGATGAGGGCAAGAATCATCAAACACTTTCCATTCACTTTCATTTCTATGCCACCACACAACCAAATCAAGCCCCATCACTTTCTTTGCATGCGGCACCCTCTTATCCAAATCACATACCGGCATAACCGGGTACCACTCTGAATACCAATCAAATTTGTCCCCCTCAGTTTCAGCGTCGAGCTCTGGATCAGGAGGGTCCATGGAATCTATTGAGACTGTGGATGATGATGAGGTATTCAAAGGTTAATTTGAACTTTGACATGTTTCTTGATGAGATGGGAATATTTGGAGAAGTGGATTTTGTGAATCGGACCCTGTGGAGTGTAGTTGATGTTGGTGGGATATGAAGTGAAGGGACATGAGCAGCAGCTGTAAGAGCTCCCATTTTTGGTTCTCTCTCTAAGCGGTGTAACTGCTTAAACACCGAACAGAGAAGTGGGTCCTCAGTCTGTCGTCAGTGCAATCCCGCTGTAGGACTGGCAATTTTTTATTTGACCCGCCATCTTATTCATTTCTTGCTTATTTAAAACGAGTTAGGTTAAGATATTTAAGATCTATGACTTATTAATGACCATTAAGAGAACTTGATGGATTACGGATGAATAATAGGTCTACTCATTGGGATAATGGGCTTGATCTTTTTATTGGTTTAAAATTTTAAAATTTTTTAATTTATTATTTATTTATTTTATTTTTTAATTTTTAATCTTATTTAAACCTTTAATAATTAATTAATTCTCTCTAATTAATTAATTGATTTTCACATTCTCCTGTTGTAATCCAATGGTGCCATTGCAGCCCAAAATGACTACCGGTGAAATGCACTCTGATCAGTAGTCGAACTTTACTAAAAAATAAAATACTAACTTCTAACTCTTAACTCCTAATCATTACCCTTGTCAAAAAAAAAAAAAAATTAATTATCTTAACTTATCATCTTCTAAAAACAAAAATAATCTCACTCCACCCGTATCTAATCTCTCACATTTCCTGTTCTTATTTGGTCTAGTACTCTAACTGTAATTCTTCAAAATTTAAACTCTTTTTATATTTCATCAACTTCTATAATCTATACAGTTTTTCACTTTCAAACTCTAACTCCAATTTTTTTTTTTTAGTTTTTAACTTAAATCTCAAACTTAAATATCAGTCTCATCAAATCACTATTGCATCGACTTAATCTTTTTTTATTTTCTTTTTCGAGTTCGACATGTACTCTCTTTATCATCAACTTTTCTTTCTAAACCTTTAAAGTAAGTTGTTTAGTTGTTTATACCTTTTAGTTTTCTTTTCATTCCAAGTAAAAAAAAAGAAAGAACACATTTGTCATGAGAAAATCACATTCGCCAATAGCAAAGAAAGAGCAAATTCATCAAAACAAAATAACTTAGTTAAACATAGATTCTCATTCATTTTCAGGTAAACATATACAAACATAACATCATGAAAGCAGATAACAGAAACAAGAGGATAAAAGAAACAAACACGGCAGAGTTTTCTGGGTAACAGATCGGAGTCCGATCTGGACGATCCCACCCACGGGCTCAAGCACAGATCATTCCCCTCAGTGCCTCCCCAAAAAGGACTCCTCTGTTGAAGAAAAATACCTAAAGCAAAGACAAATCCAGAAACACAGCTTCCAAAAACAGTCACTTCTTTAAGAGCTTAACGATCTCCTCTCAAGCTGCTGCTTTCCCTCTAGCTAAAATCCCTCTCTTTTCTTTGCCGTCAACACCAAAACTCAAAACCAAAGAACCCCAGAATCAACCAAGAAAGAAAAATCAATCCCCTCAAAATCAAACAGCCAAAATCCACCAAAATCAAACTCAAAACTCCACCATCAACCTAAAGACCCCCCTAAATCAAACTCCAAAAACTCTCCAACCACCGACCCCCCCTCTACTCTGCTTTTGCTCTATATATACACCCAAAATGATAAAAATAAAAATGAAATAAAAAAAAGGGCTTGTTCTGTCAATCACCAATGATGCCAATTTTGATTTTTTTCTGTATGGCTGTAGCGTGCAGAAGGCAGGGGCATGGGATTGGGGCGCAGAGCAAGGCTGGGCAGCAAGGGCAGGGGATCTGGTGCAGCAGAGGGGCGTAGGGGGGGCATGATGGCTCGGGCATGCAGGGGCATGATTGCCAGTGATGGTTGGAGCAGAGTGCAGGCGATTCGGGCGCAGAAAGGCAGGGGATCTGGTGCAGAGCAAGGCTGGGCGCGGGGTGTGGGGCCCTGGGCGAGGGGCGCTAGGCTGGTGCGAGGC